TGAACATTCACCTTCTTCAGCAATGACATTTTGTGTCCTATACTCCTAGAGAAATGTGTTGATGACTGTCTTCTGGACATGATGGTGTGGCCTACTGACCCAGAGTAAGAGACTGTTCAGAGGCTCAGGAAACCTTTGCAGTTGTTTTGATTGACTGGTTGTGACATCCCGAGTTTTCATTAGTGATCTTCTTCACAGTATTCTAATTGTCTGAGACACTTGGGGTTTTTATTTTCTGCAAGCCATGAACACCAAAATTACAAGAAACAGTTGCATCATCATATATCTGATGATTGTACATAATGTGAGGATTTTACTTTCAGAGATGGTTGGCAAAAAAATTGCACTTTCTTACAATATTAAAATTTTTCACTTTCACTTCGTTCACAAAGCAGTATTGCCCATGTCACCGTCATTTAGGAAATATTGTATAATGACCCTTGTGACCTTTCCCTTTTGAATTTACAAAAGCGTTTTTTGTTTGTTTTGATCGTGATGCATGACCAAAAACAAAAGCAAAACTTTAATCCCAAAATGTTTTTGCAGACATATTTTCAGGAGCAAAGTGTTGACCAGTAAAATAGAAAGCTGTTATGCGGTCAATGTTGTTGAGCTAACGCTGAAAATCTGGAAACTCTCACAGGGTCTATCTTGTAATCGTCTCTCCTCTCTAGCACACTGGTGTTTACCCACTGGTGTCCAAAAGCATGCGACGCATCGCCGAGGGCAAAGACCCAGTAGAGTGGCAGGTCCACACGTGTGGTATGGCCAACATGTTTGCATACCACAGCCTGGGCTATGATGACCTGGATGAGCTGATGAAGGAGCCAAAGCCACTCTACTTTGTCCTGGAGCTGCTGAGGGTCAGAAAATAATGATTACTGTGCTGAATCCATTACCTAACAAAATAAAAAAGATTCATTTTTATTGTATTAAATCAGAAATGAAACTTCCTGTGTGTGTACGTGATGGGCAGGTGCAGCAGCCCAGTGAGTACAACAGGGAGACATGGGCCCTGAGCGACGAGGAGAGGCTGAAGGTCGTCCCTGTGCTGCACGGCCAAGGAAACAAGCTGTACAAACAGGGACACTACCAGGAGGCCACGCAGAAATACAAAGAAGCTATAATCTGCATCAAGAATGTGCAGACCAAGGTAGCCACCCCTAACAAATATCAAGTCAGTTTTGTTACTTTCATAAATCTGAGTTTCCACTGCCATCATGTTTTTCTCTTCAGGAAAAAGCATGGGATGTTCCATGGCTGAAGCTTGAGAAGATGGCAAACACTTTAACGCTCAACTACTGCCAGTGTCTGCATCGCATGGAGGAGTACTACGAGGTCATCGAGCACACCACGGATATCATCAACCAGCATCCAGGTTTGAAATGACAAAAGTCTCCCATGGAGCAGTCAGAGGTGTACAGTTTTTTTGACTATACTTACAAAATCAACCCTGTTTCTGAAAGTTTACTCCCACTGCTGCCTTGTGGGAAAGCTTTTTATATAGGTTTGTACATGGACACAGCTGTGAGCAGAAATACATGAACTTCTGTAACATTTTGTCACATTTTATTGGTATTTTATGTGAAAAACTGAAATCAACAGCAAAATGTTGTGGTTCAGGGAGAATAATGATTTCAAAAGATTTTTTACAATAACAAAAAAAAAATCTTAAAAATATTACATTTGTACTTTTTCATTTAATACAAGAAAATGAAATCTAGTTCAACCAGTTTCCTTCATAGAACCACAACAAACAAACTCCACCTGTGTGTGATGTAATCTCTGTATGAAGCCATTTGTTCTGTGAAGTTGTCAGAAATTTGAAAGAGAACATAACTGAACAAAACAGCATCATTAAAACCAAGAAAGTTGTGGAGTAACTTTAGGTTATAGGCGCCAAACTGCAAAGTTGAAACTTAGTGATGGGTTCACAGCTTTGAGGAAACTGTAAATACAGGAAACTATCATTCATTATGTGTCTAACTTTACCTTATTAAGAACAAAAAGAGAAAACCTGTTTTCCAGTGTTACAGTTCAGTATTCCAAACTTAAAAAAAAAAAAAAAACAGAGCTTTGCACAATCGACCATCTGAAAAGATTATACCAGAGCTACAAACGTATCAAGACCTGGCAGCCCATCTAAACTGAAGAATCAGGCAAGCTGGGCATTAATCAGAGAAACTTCCGAAAGGTATTGACTCAGAGACGCCACACTTTCAGATCTATATTTACAAAAGGTGCTGAAAACAACAAACATTACTTCCACTTTCCAATAATGTGTCACTTGTCCAAGTCACTGCAATGCTACCACAAATGTCAAACTCAAGAAGTATAAAAATGTCATAGGGGAAGGTTTTATTCCAACTTTTTATGTACTTTGTGTGCCAAATTCTACCTGTGCCTGATTGCCCTGCAGGCGTCGCAAAGGCATTCTACCTGCGAGGGAAAGCTCACAAGGAAGTATGGAACGAGGCAGAGGCCCGGCAGGACTTCAGCAGGGTGCTGGACCTCGACCCTGGCATGAAGAAGTCAGTGAAGAAAGAGCTGGCAGTGCTCAACATGCGCATGGAGGAGAAGAACCAGGAGGACAGGAACAAGTACAAAGGCATGTTTTGACCCAGAGACTAAAAAGGCAACTGTTTTCATAAAAAAGTGAACACTGACCTCAGCACCACAGGAGCTCTGTAGGTCTGCAGGTACCGACTATTTAAGAAAAAAAAAAAGTTGTTTCTATTTTTGTGTCCAGGGAGATTTAAACATATATACCAAATGCTACAGTTAAAAAGCCCTGAGCGACGAGGGCTCATCTTATATAAGATGAGTAACACAATCTGTGTTAGAAAGTGTGTATTTCTCAAACTGTTGTGCAATACCTCAAAAACTCAATAAATAATACCACACTTTGATATCTGAGATGTTTTATTGCTTTATAAAAAAAAATGTTTATAAACAAATTGAAATTTAAGAGAAGCGTTAAAAATTTAGATGTAAGGTTTCACAAAAACTATAAAATCACAGGCACAGTTCAAACTAACCATAAACAAGATCTGGGAATGAACTCCTGACCTCTGTGGGTCAGATGTATTTCAAACGACAACATAAATGATGTTTCAAAACATGGATTTGGATTAGTCAGATTCATCTTTCAACTTCAACTGAGAGCAATCGTCTCAATTTAGGGGTGAGTCCAGGTTATTTTTTACTTAGGGTTACGAAAACCTAAAAGACAATCACACTTGGGGTATGAGGTAAATTGAATAACCAAATCGGTTTCCTTTACAAAGAGAGTAATGTAACATCCTGCAAAAGATGTCTTAAATCTACCTGTAAATAGGTAGATCATACATCTATCCAGACAAATCTTTGTCTTGGAGTTGCACATACGTTGCCTCACCACAAGAGGGCGCCATGGCTGCAAATCAAACCCATGTCCACCTGAACTTTGGGTGAGAGATTTTCCGGACAGTCGGCCGCTTTTCTTTTTGTCTTACAAAGAACCGGCGGCTGGCGGAGCTTCAGCGACGAGCTGCTTGATCCGTCGCTGTTCTGCGATCACATCCACATCACAACAACGCCATCGTTGTGATGCAGCAAGCTCGATGGAAAACTAGTTCCACAATTTCTGTGGTAAAAAAAAAATAAAAAAATAAAAAAATAAATAAAATGTGTTCGTTTAAACATTCGACAGTCAACTGAGAGCCGAGTTTCATTTGGGGAATCCCCTTTCATCTAAAGGGAGGAGTGCGCCATGCACCCTGAGAAATAAAGCGGGTGATCATGCTGCGTCGTGCGTCGTAATCTGTTGGTGCAGGCATTAAAAAGGAGCGCGTCGTCACCACGCACCAAGTCAATGCAAGCACAGACAAAAGGAGGAATGAGACAACGCTTTTCGGCATGACATGCGGGTCAAGGTTCAGTTAGTCTAATCTAAATACCCTTTTCGTCTTCAGCAGCACATATATGTTGTAGAATCACAACATCGTTTACGTCAATTTCTCGGGGGCCGTTTCTAAAGTCCACTTAGAACAAGCTGATTGATGACACGGGGGTCCAGCCTGTCTGCTGGCGAGCTGGCCGGAACATTGAACTGCAGGAGAGAACTGCATAGCAGCACAATCCTGCTGCTGGCCTCCCTCCATAAACCAGTGGTGCTGATGCTGAGAGGGAGAGGAGAAAGGGAGGAGGAGGAAGAGGAAGAGAGGAGATGGGGGGCCGAGGGGTAGCCCCCCCTTCCGCCCCCTCCTGCGTCTTCCCTTCTTTCTACGGAAGACAAGTTGGCGAGAAAGTACGAGGTCCACACCGGAAAACAGACAATTAATGGGTCCAGAATAAAAGCAACATGAGCCTGAAACGCTTCATTCTTTTTGTTCAGTTTTAAGAGGAAACTAAGAGAATCTTATAGGAACAATACAATTATTAACACTCTCTATCTATCCATCTATCTATCTATCTATCTATCTATCTATCTATCTATCTATCTATCTATCTATCTATCTATCTATCTATCTATCCATCTATCTATCTATCTATCTATCTATCTATCTATCTATCTATCTATCTATCGAAGTAAAAATCTATCTAAGTAAACATATCAATAACTTAGTCACTATAGTTGTCTAAATTAAAATTTCATTTAGAAAAATAAATGCATTTATTTATGCATGCTTGTGTGCATGTATTAACTAGTTAGTTATCTAGTTGGCTTATTATTTTATAAAATACGCTTTTAAAAACACTTTATCTGCTTCACACTTCACAGTAAGTTCAAAGTCCGACTCGGTGGCGAACTGAAACTATGCACGCATCATTTTGAGTCAAAACATTGCGAAATGTCGTTTATAAATAAATAAATAAATAAATAAATAAATAAATAAATAAATAAATAAATAAATAAATAAATAAATAAATAAATAAATAAATAAATAAATAAATAAATCTTTTATTTTGAACTCATCTCCCGGAAGTCTTCAGAACAAACGCAGGAAGTTGACCAGGTCCCGAGTGGAGTAAAGCGCCTCTGCAGCAGAGAGAGAGAGCAGGACAGGGACTCTCTGGGACTGGTCTGAGATAAACATCTGGAAAGGAAAAAGAAGAGAAAGGACAGAAAGAAAAAAAAGACTTAGAAGCACTTTAAAAGAATAAAGTAAATAAATAAACAAACAAATTGAGGCGTCGTAGTGGGACTGGATCAAAGCGGGATAGGTGGATGTATCAGAGAGAAGAGGAGACAAGAGGAGGCTCTTTGGAAATAACTCCAACAACGAATGGTGATGAAGGAGAAGGATGCTGGTTTAGGAGGAGGAATCATTTGCTTTCATCTGATTGATTTCATTCGTGGCGGCTGTCACACCTGAGCTCATAAAGCCCAGATACACCAGGAGGAATCCCTTGTTTAAAGTCAAGGGATCAGTCTATCTATCAAAGCCTGGTTCCTATTGAGAAACGTGGACGCGCTACGACTCATCACAAGCTTCCAGTCTGCTTATCACGTTTCCTCTCATAATTCCTTGACATAAAAACCGGGAGTGGATCATGGCCATCAACACCGACACCGACTTCCTGAAGTCCACCCTGGGCAGTGAGGGCGGAGGAGGCGCCCCGCCCGCGGACCTACAGGAGACGGAGAAACTCCTGACGGTGACCACCGAGCCCGGGGCCGCCGGCATGAAAATGTCCACCTCCTTCACAGCCAACGCGGCCGGGGCCAAGGCCCTGGAGGCCGATCAGAACGGCCACGGCGTCGCCATGAGGTCGGGCTCCATCGGGCAGCTGTCCGCCGCCGCCCCCCTCTCCCCGTCCAGGGCCAGCCTGAGCCGCTCCTCCACCGGGAACGCCACCGTGCCGGAGACCCCCAAGCCCAAGGATTACCTCATCCTGGTCATCCTGTCCTGCTTCTGCCCCGTGTGGCCCGTCAGCATTGTCGCGTTGGTGTACTCTGTTATGGTGAGTTGGAATTTTTTTTTTTTACGGCCAAACACTCCCACAGAAATGAAGCTGAACCTTTACTGATCTTGGAGTAGCTGACCAATTCTTGATATTGTTGAGTCTTCATTCAGAAAGTCTTGGAGTCACCTTCTCAGATTTAAGTTTCTTTATGTGAAACAATGTGTTTAATAATAAAAAAAGTGAGAAAAGCTGAGAAAAGTGAGACTACAATGTTTCCTTAACACCTTCACATGCATTACGAACTGCATGTGAAGAAATCAGAACGTGAACAAATATTTACTTAGTGCTTTTAATAAACTTGTAGAAAGAAAAAATAGCTCTATAGTCTTAGCCATCTGAAACACTTAGTGTATCTGATGAAAAGCCATTAATTTCTATTGAATGATTAACTAACATCTGGTTGTTACCGGCTTTTGGCTCAAGGTCACTGAACAAGTTACAAAAAATGTATCTGTTTTATCCCAGAAACAACATTTGTGATGCCAGCCCACAAGTTTATTTAATGATTAGGTTCAAAGGTCAGTCTGCCCGCCCCCATATCATTGGTCTGACATTAAACCAGGTGCTTCTGGTTTATTGATGGAAACACCTGTTTCAATGAAAGTTTCCATTCAGCATATCGTTGGTCTTTTAATGTGTGTCAGCTGCGGATGTTCCAGATGTTCTTGTGAGCCGATGAGAGAATTCACAAACTCTGAAACAATCTTCCTCTTTTTGTAAATATAACACTTTGAACGGTTTTAAGTCTCTTCTTATTATTAAGCCTTTTCGCTTGACTCTTTTTAGCAATTCTTTACATTTTGTCAATTTTCTTTATTGTACTTGTGTGTGTCTTTTTGTTCATGTTTTGATTGATTGATTGATTGATTGATTGATTGATTGATTGATTGATTGATTGATTGATTGATTGATTGATTGATTGATTGATTGACTGACTGACTCTGGGGAAATAAATAGGTCACACACTGATGTGCCACCATCTTTCTCATTTCTATTGTTTCTGTTTGAAGTTCCAACTTTACAGTCTGGCCATAGAAGAACAATTGCAACCTCTTCAGGAAATGTATTTGTAGCAATGCGACTTTGCCATCTTGACTTTTCATCTAATCATCTGACATGCATTTCTATGTTCTATTTTATGTTATTTCTTTTATTTGATTGATTATTTTGGTTGTTTAAAAAATGCCAACCTGCTCTCACAGCTTTCACAGCAGGTCTAGGAAAACACTTGTGAGTGAAAGAGAATGGCAGAGAAACCTAAAACAAGAATTGGAAGTAGTGAAGGAGTGTAAATACCTCAGTGCTTGTTCCATTTATTACAGTAAAGACCAGGTGTACAAATCTCAGCAGCATGAGTTCATCATCACCTTAAGTTACCAGTTTAGTTTATTATAGTTAGTATATTCCTCTCTTCTCCAGATGTTTTCACTTGAAATCTCTGCATGATGCAGTCAGTCTTATTTTTTAGAACAACTTTTTATTTTGTAATCGTCTATGCATGACACGTAAAAGAATCGGGGTTTTCCAGCATTAGCCGTATGTGTGAAATTTCCTTATGTAAACAAGATATTGCCGGGGGTCTATATTTGTAAATCTGATTATGATTAAGTCAGTGCTTCACCAGATATGAACCCTCTACCTTTCATGAGTGTCATTTATGTGCAATTCCTTAGCCATCTCCATTTTGTAAGCTACTGATAGAAAAACCAACAAGCTCAATTAGATGTAAAATTCAGGTTTGCAGGTAAAAAATACATCTTAGAACTGATATCAGTTCATATGAGCTACTGATGGATGGATGAATGGATGGATGGATGGATGGATGATGGATGGATGGATGGATGGATGGATGGATGGATGGATGGATGGATGGATGGATGGATGGATGGATGGATGGATGGATGGATGGATGGATGGATGGATGGATGGATGGATGGATGGATGGATGGATGCCTTTAGAAAGGTACATTTGTGGAGTATTTAACACAGAAATTACTGATGCTAATGAATTTAGTAAGTCTGGACATGTAATCAGCTCTTAGATTTTTTTTCTTGCTTTACTTGAAATCATGGAATAAATTGTTATGTATCAGAGGACTTAGCAATCCGAGCCATTAGCTTTAGCTTCCATGGGAGTCAATAGTCACTCAACATGAAAAGGAAAAACTGACCCAAACACCAATTCCAGTTTTGCTTTCCATTCAAGCTTTCTGGATTCCCACAAACACACATTTCACACGGCCATCTGTCGTAATTCTGTCACGTTGAAGCTGCTTAACAGCATCTTTCTTTTTACTTCTCAGACTGTGGTAAAGCCAAATTCAGATGCATGGAAGAACAAAGCAAAATCAATGGAGGAAACCCATTAGTTCCTTAATGTCACTCATGTGGCCACTACACACTAAAGCAATATTAGGCAGTGTTCACTGCATTTCCCCAAGCCGTCATGACAAACCTACTGACATTTACAAGTCTGTTACACAGGGAAAGTACTGAGAAGGAGAAGCTTTGACAAAGGGCAAGAGTAAGGAAAAGCGAAGGAGGTAGAAACTGGAGATGGCCGCTAACTCAATTGATGGTGAGAGAAGTCAATTTAGTTTCTGTGCAGAGGGCAGATTGCTGCAGTTAGCCAGCTCTGTGGCTGCCATCAGCATCCTCTCTTTTCTGGGGGAATGAGAAAGGAGATACAGGCTTCCCAAGGAAGATCAAAACATCAAGGGCAGATGGGTGTGAGAGAGACAGCAAATGGCCATAAAGTAGTTTCTATCACTTGATTAGAAAAAACAAAACCTGACTGAGAAATTGCACTGATGTCAGATATAAGAGCAAGTGAGTCAGAGTAGGCTAACAGATCAAATGAACAGTAATGTGGCCGAAACCACAAGGTAAAGCCTCATAATGTAAGTTCACCGCTTTGTTTTGAAATTCCCGTGGCTGAAGAGGAACAGATGCCTCAGAGAAGCATTATAATAGTAGCAATGAAGGGAAGTCAAAGGAACGTGTCTGGACTCTAAAACAGTAAAAAAAAAAAAAAAAAGAATAACGAATGAAGAACCAGGTGCTTTTATAGAGCTGATTTGAAATGCTCTGCTAGTACAATGAGCTGTCTTGGATCCTGCTTAAAGTCATGCTAAGAGGTTTTCTGTTGCGTTAGATGTAGATAATTACAGATGAAACTAGATTCTTATGTGCGCTTTTTAAAAAGACACAAAGCCCTTTGTTTATTCCACATATTGACATTAACACACACTGAACATTTCCTTTTTGGGTCAGCTAGGTATACCAAAATCAATTCTAATTATTTGGCATTGTCGTTTGCTGAAACCCATAATAGTGAGAGATTTCAACATTTTTTTCCAACTTTCTTTACAGCCACTTGTTCGAGTCCTGTCTTTTCCTTCGAATAAAGACCAAAAGAGACAAAAAATTCCTGAAATAAAAATTCAAATCACGATTAAAAAAAATATATATATTGTTTAGAATAATTGGAACATTAATTAATTAACTAACTGATGTATATTTGATTATGGCACTTGACAAAACACAGTGTTTGTTGCTTGTTTCATTATTGGTCATTGCTTGTTTTTATCAAGTAAAGCATTTTGATCTGCCTTGTTGCTGATTCATGTGCTCTACAAAGACATTTAGCTTGACTAGCTGAGGAAAATATTATTTGTTTAAAACTTAAGTTCAAAATTGACCTATCTTGACCATATCTGCCATTTTCATTCATTGCGTTATTTGTTTTTCTAATATCCACCCTGTTGTATCAAACCAGTTTCCTGCAAAGCTCATCAATCTTGCAGGTCATCATCAGTATAATGCTGTCATCAGCATTAACGGGAGCCGGTAGGGGAGGGACTTTTCTTTCATTGCCAGGTTTATTGTATTGACTCACAGACTCGTTAACAACTTACTAAATTTAACAGAGGAATACGAGGAGTAAACACACTCAGAGTATCTACTAAATAGGGAGTAAGTTTAAACATTTAGTTTCAAGGAATCCAACAAAAACAAACATGGTTGAATTTCAGTGTTTTTCAGAAATTCTGAAAGAAAGAAATGTAAATGCTGGTGTCTTATGAAATGACATTCTAGACTCCTGAAAGATGCTCTGGTGCGGAAAGCCAAGCCTGGGAGACACGCAGCCAATTACAGAGGCAGAGATGATAGGTTTTCTTTTTTTTTTCTTTTTTTTTTTTTTACAGCCGAAACTAGACCATCCCGATAATGTAAATGTCTTAACTGCAGCAAGATTATTGCATGCTCTGCAGATTTGCCTGTAAAATATGGACTTGCATATGTTGCACCAGAGAAGTGACTGTGTTTGCGCATAATGCATGTGTGGGTAGGTAAATTACTTCTTATTAGCAGATGCAAAATGGCAGCTTTGCAAAGCAGTATGCGGTGCAGATTTTGAGCTCCACAAAGTGAAAAGCCAAATGAAGAAACAAGTTAAATTCTTTTTTTTTTAAGCTTTTTTGTACGATTTGTACTCATTCTGTCACAAATGAAAAACAAGATATTTGCATCTTCTGTAAATAAAACATGGGTAGCATATTTTTACTGGTTCATGGCTGTTACAATTTCTGATATGATTTCTTTTAAAAAAAAAAAAGCAGATTAAGGAGAGATTTTTTTTTCATTCCTTTATTTACCATTTGGTAGAAAAACTTTTTAAACTCTGACTTTGGTAAAACATTTGAGCATCCTTCCTGCAAACAGAACATCTGTAACTGAGTCATGTTTGTATGGTGACTCTGTCGCTTGCTTTTCTATTGGACAGAAAAGAACTCTACAAGCACGAAATGCACTTTTTGGCTGTGCTCCAACAAAATATCTAAGGCACTGTATTTAAATGAATATTTCACATACTTGTCAATAATATTAAATCACAGTCATTTATTTGACCAGGATGCGTAATTGTGCACTCGTAAATTCAAACTATCAATGGGCTCAAAGTAAAGCCACATCTGCTGAATTTAAATGTCTACACT